CTAGATACCCAAGGAGAAATGAAAAGTCAATATGACGTCAATTTCACGTCATATTGACCAAAATGTGACATAAATTTGGTCAATCTGACATGAAATTGACATCATCCCGAATTTTACTTCTCCTTGGGTATACTATGGTATAGCAGTCCAGCGGTAGACAGAAGTCTGTGCCTCGGTGCCTCTCGATACGAATGAATCCGAGCGGACGATATGCGTGCGACTTCGACGACACTTTTACCGACTTTCGCGGGATAGTTTTTATTAGATACTCTTGTGCAGCACGCGAGTACGCGGGGGAGGGAGGAGGGGGGGGGGAGGGGAGGGAGGAGGGCGTGATACACGCGTCCGGGGAGACACGTAGGGGAAATAACACGTGTATTGTATATTTATACGCGCATACTCAGATGACACACTACAGGCGACAAAATTCGTGAACGAAGATGAGAAAGGGCTGAGAAATCGTATCCTATCCAATTAAAGTAAAATTATATTATATATACATATAATATATGTAATGTGTATACACCGCATTTCGTATATGCATTTCGTGGATGCGTATGACGCGCGATATTGTATGTATATGGACAGAGGTGTGTACGATGAGTACGATTAACGACACGGATATCCAAGTCTATTCTTGTTTTGCGTGAATAAACGGGTGAATCAAAAGCCAATATTTACAGACTTCTTGTTCATTTTGCCATTACGAGACCGTACGTTTCTTCCCTCCACTCCCCTCATTTCCTTTCTTTCGCTCCCCCCCTTCCCGCCCCTTGCAGTCGGCACTTTTATTTTTCTTCGCGTGTATTTAATTTTTATATTACATACATTTGTATATTTCAGTTTCTCGCGTGTCATGTATTTGAGTACGTTTAATTCAACAAAGTTACTTAAGTACTTTTTAAATTTGATTTGTGTATTTTTAATTTGATCCTTTAAATTTAATGGAAAGATAAAAATTATATATATGTGAAACTCCTGCCACTTCAATTTCTAGCCCGACATATTTAACTTTTATAACTTTCGTTACGTTCCCCATTTCTCCCAACTATTCTATAGTTATGTACTAACTATACATTGTATAACATATAATAACATATTGATTTTTATGGTCTTTAAGATTGTCACATCTCACGCTTATTATTCCAGGGTGTCGTGAAAATGTTCGGAATGGATTCCGGTCGGAACTATTCCGTTTCCCCTGTAAAACACAATAGAAATCCAGGATATAATTGAACAATTCCGAACATTTCCACGATAAGTATACCCTGGGGTTCGATCATCAATCTCTAGCGTGCGCTCGTGAAAAGTGAACAATTTCATTGGCGAATATTAAATTCCTCAACAAACCTTTCACGAGTTCACGCTAGACGGGAAGATTCACGAACAACCTCCCGGCCTGAATGTTCATTGCAAGTTCACTCAAAACATTCGCTTACCGCTGTCCCGCCAAATGCCGCGGATCCGATCGGGAGTTCCAGCGATATCGGTTTCGTTGGACCGCGAGAGAACCGCTCGGTCACCCGGTACCTCGTCCTCCGTTGTCTCCCACGAAGACTCGGGATCCTTTTCTCGAACGCCGTCCGGCCGCCGGAGTTTCCCGCGGACGCCGATACGAACCTCGGCCACCCGTCGCGTTCGCGAGCGCTAACCTCTTCGCGCGCGGCCGCGGACTCGGCTCGCTCTGTCGGACGAGCGCGCGAACGATGCGACGCGAGACGCGCGAGGCCGCGACGACGTTACCCTCGCGCGCACGTGCGACGCGACGTCGCGAGCTCGGGGCCCGCTCGACTCGCCCTTCGCGCGCGAAACAAGGGTGACCGCCGACGCGCGGCACCGTCGCGAGATACGAAAAAGCTAATCGCCACCGTGAAATCGCTTGAAATCGCGTCGCCGTGACGTAACGCGGCGCGTCACGTGACGTCATGGCGAGTTCGAATTCCGTCCCGCGTTCGTCTCACGTAGTGACTAGGGCCGTTACTTTCGATAACCTCGACGATTTCGAAAATTCCAAGTCGACATCGAAGCTTCGAAAGTTCGAATGTCGAAGCCTTCGTAGAAAATCACCAGCCCTAGACCGGTATTCATCGGATCTTATATTCAAGACCGTCTTAAGATCGTCTTTAGATACTCGGTAACCAAATCAAATGTTCCACACAGCATCTTTAGTTAAACTCAAGGCGGTCTTGAATATAAGATCCGACTATGAATACCGGCCCTAGAGACCCTGTAATCAGAGACTGTGGCCATAAGAGTTCGTCAAATTCCCGCGAGTGAGAGAGAAACATAGGCCAGCTCACTCTTCTACGACGTTTCTCTCTCACTCGCGGGAATTTGACGAACTCTTATGGCCAGTCTCTGATTACCGGGTTTCTAGTTTTACGCGGGGGGGCGGGCGGGGGGGGAGCGAATTTCGACGGACGGAAAAGGGAAGGAATTGTCTGTTACTCGAATACACGACTTGTATTTTCGTTTATAAATGTTATAAACAGGCGTCCGGTATTCGAGGAGTCTCTAAAAGCGCGCGGTTCCGCGCGCGGAGGAGATAAATTATGTTAAAATGTAACATCGTGTCAGAAAACTTTGCAAAACGACAAACAATATACGACGTACGGTAACACGATACGACATACGATATTACAATACGCATATAAAATATATTAAATATCATGGAACTTAGTTGTACTATAAAAATGCGTTTTCTCATTCTTACCTCGACGTGAAAGATCTCGTCGTCGTGAGTACGCTAGAAACTCGGCTATCGTTATCGCTCAGCTTGTAATTGCGAGAGATGTTAGTGAAGCTCTCTTACTAAAACGAATCTTCGATAAAACGTCCTTCTAATTTCGCGCGAAACGATGTACATTTTAGCGAATTCGATTGCTTGCGCTAGTGCGCACTGAGCGCACACCAAGGCCCGTTTACAGTCAATTTTTACATTTAACGCGGTCTTAAATACATGTTCAAAGAGTATTTAATCAAAACACGATCCGTACGGATGCTACACAGATCACTTCGCTGGTCATTTCAAGAGATATTTGCGACTATCCTTAAATATAAGGACGTAGGGAAGGTTCAAACCCTGGCTGAGGTAATATTTTTCGCAATAAATTTCCTGTATTATTAAAAATGCCAGATATGTCAAGAAAATACTGAAGTTCTTAAATATAAGAATTGACTGTAAACAAACGGTTTCTTTTCTGTTCCTGCACTGGTGAACTAGTGCAGTAAGCTAGAATGAGAAAATATATTCTTGTCTTACTCTAATTTATTGCACTAGTTCACCAGTGCAGGAACAGAAAACAAACCTAATTAGTGTGCACTCAGTGCGCACTAGCGCGAGCAACCGAATTCGCTATTAGAGAGACACGTTAAAACAGTATCTTAGTAAAAACTAAGAATATATATTATATATCAAAGCAATATTAGCTATAGAACACGTATAGAAATTCTCCGTTCATTGATGCTTCGTTGAATACGTCGATTTCGGGCGCCATACCGCGATATCGATGCCGGATATCGCGAGGATGCCATTCAGATAATCCATCTGCAAAAGACAATTGCATGTAATATCTATCCAACACAGCTTGAGATAAGACTTATAGTTCCAACATTTGGAAGACACTGATGAGACCCGATCTCAAACTTCAAATGCGAGAGAAAATTAAATTTGTAAATTGCATTCTTTGCGTTTTACACGTAGACGTTTGACGAATTTTTCTTCAAAGTCAACGATCGAGTCAACGAACTCGAGTCTCGGCGATCACTCACGCTGGCGATCTCGCCGAATCCCGAGAGCAGAGTGGCGATGGGCTTCGGCGGATCCGTAGGGCTCGAAATTCTCACGGTGCCGTCCGTCGAGCTCGTAATCAGGCACCCGTGCGTCAGATGCACCCCCGTTATCCCTTTCGTGTGCTCGGTGGAATAAGATTTCACCAGCTTGAAGCTGTTCTTTGGATTTAGCACGTGCAAGTTGGCGGTGCTGTCGCCGACGCAGACCCAATCCCGTTGCATGCTCATGCACATGGGGAACGCCTCGCTAGAAATCTAAAAGGCACATACGTGAGCAGCGTCTCTCCACTCTCTCTACTCTCTGTCTCTCCTCGCGAGACGTTAAAAACACGGAATGATATTACCGTGATAGACTTCATGGTCCGTCCGGCTCTCTGATCCCAAATGGACACCGTCTTGTCCTCGCTCGCGGACAAGATGTACTCCGTGTTCATGGCCAGCTTGATCACGGCTCCGGTGTGCGGCCGGTACTGCCTGATCGGCTTGTGTCCCGATCTCGAGTCGAACACGAATATGGTCCTGCTGTACGAGCCGGTCGCAAAGAGGGCCTGCTCCGGGCTCGACGACACGCACAGCAGTGCACCCGGCACGTTCCTGGAATGTGTCACGTTGATGGAAAATGGTACGCGCGAGATGTTAATACGCGGGCCAACGAGCGAGCTTTAGAATCGCGTTTCCGAATCATCTGTCAAGCGAGACACGGGACTGCCGTGTCCGCATTCGAGCAATTTCGAGGAGGACAATGATCTCTCCCGCAAACGAAAATTATCTTCTCCGCTCGGTCGAGCGTCTCATCGCGGGGCGGCCGGGAGAGACAGTTTCGCTAACGCGTACATCTCGTAAGTTCTCAGCTGGACGAGGCCGGTGTTGATGAGCATCCACGACTTGACGCTCTGATCCCAGCTGCAACTGTAGATCGTGTTGTCTATCGCCGTGAGATCCCAGATCCATCCGTTATGCGCGGAATCTATGCAGACGGAGTTCCCGATTTCGTGCGAGGGCAGTTTCTCGCGGGAGGGGAGCTTCCAGTAGACCAGGGTGCGATCTCTCGCGCCGGCTATGCAAGTGGTGCCGTCCTGCCAACGAGAATCACGTCATCGTTAAGTCGCTTCCCGGCAGGGGAGAAATGTCCAAAGACACTTGGCACAATATACCACCTACGTGCATCAGTAGCAGAGCGTCTATCGTGCTGTACTGTGCGTTCGCGATTATAAATTTCTCCATGGAATCCTGCTGTTTCCACAGCGCCGTCTGTTTCTCGACCGCGACGCATGACAACTTCCAAAACAGTTTGTCGGGCCTCGCTGTAATGACACGTGACTTCTTATACCAACGAAAGCCTTATTCGTACTGTAACGTTAAACACGAAGAATGCAGCTACAACCTGAATCGAGTACAAGTACACTACAGACACATTCTATTCAAGTTCTTACTTTGTCGGATGGTCGCAGTAAGCAGAGCTGCTCAAGCTTGTACGATGCGACCTCTCACAAATAAGAGATACGTAATATTTCGTGGAGCATGCTTATTTTCTCGAAGCAAACGGAAATGAAATTAAGTCTAACGCGACGTAAGCAACTGGTGTACAACCTGCATGTGCATGCGCAAGTTCGAGCAGCGCTGGCGTGGAACGACATAGACGCTGTCTTATTTATTAACGAAACGAGCGGTGCAAGGCGTAAGGTGCTATCAATTTGAGCTAACCGGGACGCAAGAGCGGGTAGCTAGCATCCGGCCATATATGGTTAATTCGCGCTTTCCACAGTGAGTCATCCTTTAAAATCAGGTAGAACTGTTTGCACACCAGGCTCAAACCGTGTACCAACGTCGACGCCTCTAGGAAGGAGCATATATGCAGGAATATCTGAAACGGAGCACAAATTAAAAACGTTAAACGCACAAACCGAACAAACGCCCCGACGGAAGAGACACGAGAAAGAGAGAGAACGAAAGAGCTGATCGTCGATGGTTCGATACACCTTGCTCCGTTCACAAGCGACTACTGACGGGCGAAGTGAAAGCGACGATTTGAAAAATAAATTTCACGTTCGCGGGGTGAAACACGAAAATCGGGACGTTCTTATTTCCCCCCCCCCCCCCGTACAAACCTCCACCGGGAGATCCAGCAGTGACAGTTGTGCGTCTTCCTCGCCGTCGTGCGCGCAGCTTGCGTTCTCGTCACCCATTTTTTCTCGCGCCGCGAAAATCTGAGTATTTTCATTCGATCTGCTCGAGACTGACGCCAAGATTTGACAAAGGCGATTGGGGGTTGGTTGTAAACACGGGCGCTTATCGATGCCCGATCTGTCGTGTTATCAAACAGCGATGGCTATCAACGTCCAGCTCCTTACGCAGCTAAGAATATATCGCCGTGCCTCACACACGAGCAACGCCACCTGTACAGGGTGTCGCGAAAGAAATGTCTCGATCGATTTGCATTAGACTCCGTCATGTCGAGGAAATTTATTAAATTTGTTCGTCTGATAAGCTTATTTAATTAGCAGAGCTCCGTCGAGCTGCGACGCAAAGGATTCCGACAATGGAATCTTCAGCGGATGACGAGTTGTGAGACATGAGTTTTGCTCGAGGATAGCAATTGTTAACGCTCCGCGCAAATTTATGCTCATAGGATGATAAATTCAAAAATTGCGAAATTTATAATTTATTAACAAGTTTTAAATAAATTTTCGCAACAATAACCTATCACAATTATATTATATACTGCCCGTGTTACTTATACAATTATTTAAGTAGAGTTGCCTACACGTAGTATTACAAAAATTGTTAATGTGTTCTCACTATTAAAATATGCAATTTTGCTAAACATAATATATTAAATACATGCATACACACACTAGAGACTGTAAGTGCATAGATGCATTGCACAAATTTTTAATACGTATATAGCTTCTCTCGAGATTTAATACAGTTTCTGGAATACTTTATTGAAATCAACATGGGAAGCACACTGTGCTCGGGCTACTAGGATAAGTTATATTTTTAAAAAATTTGTATGGCTCTAATGTGATAAACATAAGTTTGAAGGAATAAAGGACTAAGAGCCGTGACAGGGTGTTAATGTCTAAATATTTCACATTTTTTTAATTTACTGCGAAAAATATTACCTCAGCCAGGGTTTGAACCTGGACCTCCCTCTCGCCTAGGCGGGTTGACTCAGTTAATTCGACCACCGAAGCATACGGAAACACAATCTCGCAATAAACAGTCTAATGTTGATTCCCGAATGCCACCTATCGTGACAGTATTTGAAAAACGAGATTTTTTTGTTTCAAACAACCGGGACTAATACATTTTTAGTCTGTCGAAATTGATAGTGTGAGACATTATTATTTATCACTCATTTATCTAGCTTCACAAAGCATATATTCTTCTTATTGTCCGCTTATTTTTGTTACTGCACCTTGATTGCAATTGCCCTCGTATCTATCGAATCAGCTCGCACTATATTGCCAGAGTTTCAGCGACTGAAGGGTTGGACACACAAGAACTACATGGTTCTATTTTAGTAAGCTTTACAAGAACTAAGGAAAAACTGAATCTAAAAAGTCACAGTATTTTACATTTTTTTCTTACGTAATAATGCGATGCATTTAAGTGCAATTCTATAAGGCAACGTGTCAATATAAAATATATCTATTGTTTTAGATCCTATCAGCTTTTTTGCAGCAATAATAAAATCACAACTCATTTCTTACAAGAGATGATGCCACCTGGTTCTTGCATCCAACCCTTCAGTTGTCTTTATACGGAACAGGAGTTGTACGCTTTAAACCAATCGGTAAAGTTAATTAAAACGAACGAGATAATCGCACCGGTCGCTGAGCCCGTTTGCATAACTACACCTACGTTGAAGAGCGCCTTCGAGGACGACATGTGCTTCAGAACAGACACTATCACGAGTTTCAAATACGATATGATGCCCATCAGAACGATCCAGGACAGAACGATCAATCCCACACCGATCGTTGACTTTTGCAACGGCGGAGTAGGAGACAACAGAGCCACGCCAGTAACGTAGCATCCAGCGATTAGGCATGCCAGAGACAGGCAATTAATAATCTTTATATCCGACACCATGACCCAGACGGTCAGGAAGCATGCTAGGGGGTTCACGAATTGGGCGCAAACGATGGACAACTGATAGGCGAAATGTCCGTACGGTAGACACGAGTACGATTGAATGCTCGGCAAAAATCCATTACTGAAGAAGCAACAGACCCCGATCAGGACGTACAAATAAACTTTCCTAAATAAAGCTAAACTGTTCGCCTTAACAAGCGGGCAATTGTTTGCCGTTTCCGGCATATCGGCTGATGTGCGGTCAACGTTATCAATGTGATAAACGTGGACGGTAACATCGGACGCACTACGTCGCTTATAATCTACTTTAGTTTGCGTGGGAAAATTAGGGTCGCGCAGGCTCTTGTTGACCTGTACGAACGCGGAGTATCGCAGGACGATAAATGCAACGAGCGATAATACGAGCACAAGGGTCAGAAACAAGAAGTAATATTGCCCCGGGAACTTCAAGTCGGGCGCGTTAATCGTTTCCGTTGTATTTGCAAGAGGGACGTCGCACGCCGCCTGCTCGCCGACGCCCTGTATCAGCGCCACTACGCTCGGCAGCACGCCACTCAGGCCCTCCCCGACGAAATAGGACACGATGTAAACGTCATCGAAGTCGCGAAGGTAGGGCATGAACAGCACCGAGCTGAAGCAGCCGACCAGCGCGCTGAAGAATACCGTGACGAGCAGGGCCAGGCTGTGTTTTTCGCCACCGATTGCGACCGTTGTGTCGTAAAACACTATTAGCAGCCCCATGGCGAGAACCTGCGAGCCCAGTAAGCACAGTATGCACGACGACTCGTCCGGCTGGCATTTGCTCTTGTATAACAGGAGGACGTATATCGCGGGACCAACGTTCGCGGATTGGGCCACTATTACTATGTACGCGGGCAAATTCCAGCCTTCCGGAGCAGTGCCGACGAGCAGCGGCAGCTCGATGAATATTCCATTGACGCCGATCCAGGTGGACACACCGAACAAGATCACGAGAAGATGGACGATCGCGCGGCTACATTTGACACGTATACCGTCTTTCATTGTATATCGCCGGTTCCTTTATCTGTCCCTGCGCAAACGATTGGCGTTTGACTTAACAGCCTCGCCCGGCAAGTAACAAATAATTGCTATCGGCACTCCAAATTAAATCGATCACTCACACCAATACTGATAACAGTTTAAGTATTAAAATATCACAGAGATACATGTACATATACGTCTCTTCTCCGAGCGACAGGTGGAGAACGATAAGTACGGAACTCTGTCGCACAAGCTTATCAACAGCAGAGTCATGGAGATAAGTAAAGTTAGGAAGTAGAAAACTGCCCCCCCCCCCTTTCAATAAAATTTATCAGATGGAGGGTTTGTGCAGTCGTAAGAGAATAAACATCAAGTTTACGCGCAAGATTAACTCGAGCACTGTCTGACATACGATCTGTCTTCAGATCTAATAAAAGTTGAGCTGTTCACATATTATTATCTAGCACGGATAATTATAAACATTATATTAGTTCGTGAAAGGAAAAGTGCACGCGTCACGTTTTGATAACGCAATGTGCGTAAAGAGTTCGGTTCATCGTTCAGAAAAATATTGAACCGGTTTCACTAGGCCTCGTCTAGGCGCCGGATGAGGAATCTATTATGAGAAAAATGTCCGAAATGCACAAAAAACGTTATCGTTTTATATGTACATCCATGTTTCATTAGTATTGGTCTTCAATTAAGTATAATATCTAATAAGTTGCTAAAATAATGGTCTAAGTATCTTTATGTACCTCCAACAATAGCAGAAAACAAGCAATTGTGTACTATACGAAGTAGTTAATGCCCTTCCTGGGAGAAGAATAAATTCTCAAACACTACCAACGCAAATAATTAACAAGACTAAGTGCAGACTGCGTTAATTTTCTGTAAGGTACGCGCATGGAGAGTAAGTCTGAAACACTTTTGCGTAATTGACCAAAACAAACGTGATGATTGCGCCTATCAACGATCCGATTTGCGTCGCGACGCCGGTATAGTAAAGACCCCTCCCAGGATCGAGCCGATACAACGTCGTGATGCTCATTTTTACGAATCCAATTAAACCGCAAAGCGCTATCCATACGAGAACTACCATCAGCTCGCCCACCCATGAGTGTTGCAAGGGAGGATGAGGCGATTTCGCGGCCAGATATAGAACGAAGCCGGAAAGTATTAAAATAGGTGCTGCAAGAATGTTGAGGAGCTTCAACCCTGGTATTTTTACGAAGAAACCTAAAGACATGGCTAACGGGCCAGCTATGGCAGATAGCGTGACTGTCAAATGATAAGCTGTACTGCCATACGGTAGGCAGGAGTACGATTGTATGCTCGGTAAAGTACCGTTACCGAGGAAACAGACCACAGCCATCATGGCTAATACATAGTAGTAGGTATATTTCGGCATTTTCCAGCCGGAATCAACTTTGTAGCTGGGCGGTGCCGTCATGTCGGTCGGCAACATTTCCATGCTGCTCGGAAGCTTGACCCTCTCCCCGCGTGCTACAGGCAAGAGGTTCAAGCCCAAGAACGAGAAAAAACTCAGGCACAACAGAAATCCGATGAAGATGAAAAACACTTCGGAGGAGAATCTCGGGTCTGATTCGGCGGGCGCGAATTCCAGGTGGCTCGAGCCTGGTTTGGTAACGTTTACGCAAGTCTGATTATTACCAACGCCTTGGATCAGCGCAACTGCGCTCGGTACGAATCCGCTCAGTCCTTCTCCCACGAGATACGATACTAGATAAATCTCACGATAGTTCCTCATGTACGGCATGAAGAGCACGGAACTTGTACATCCGACGAGGGCGGTGACGAACATCAGTGACAGGAGTGCAGTCGAGTGCTCTTTGCCGAACACAATCGAGGTATAACTATACAGGAAACACAATGCGATACAGGCACACGTTCCTGCTACCAGCAAGGTATAAATGATATACTTGTCGTATGCCCAAGCGGTGTACCTGAAACAATCATTCATGTTAGGCTCGTTACGCAATCCCAAGACACGCTATGAAACGTAGACCTACTTTATGTACAGGGTGTACAGTATGGGACCTAAATTGGCAAATTGCACGAGCATCACCATGTGCGCGGGCAGGCTCCATCCTTCCGGGGCTACGTGCACGATGAGAGGCAATTGTACATAAATGCCGTTCACGCCAATCCAAGCGCCCAGACCAAACATCAGAGCGAGGAGATCGACGAGTAATCTCCGGTTGCTCAAGCGTTGACTCAGCATTTTGCCCATTTGCCTCAGAATATTTGTACTCTCAAATTATCTTCCACGCGCGAGGAACGCTTCTGGTAGCCGATCGCTCGTCAGTTTTATAATATCGGATTGATAATTATTATCGCATCATTATGATAACGAACAATTGTTCGTCAATTACAGCCAGAGCCTATCGGGAGAAATAAAAATTGAGATAAGCATATTAGTGCAGATACATTGAAATGCACTTAATAAGAAATAATTGAAACGTGATTCGAATACATTCGACGTATTGCTGCTATTCCTTATATATGAAATATATTACATTATATGTATGCATAACCACCCACTGTATATCCACGTGTCCAGATAACGGATAATATAATGAAACCCTTGACCGGAATTACTCGGTTGCATTAGAAAAGAATTTCTTTGTATCAATTATAATTTATTAATTCCTCGGAACTCGCTGGAGATATCTCGTCTTTGTTATCATATCATATTACAATAGGACCGCTTTTTCACGTGGAACTCCACATTCGTGGGAACGAGGAAAATGTTTCTTACACGTCGACTCCGATCGGATAATCACAAGCGTGCGACCGACACGCAACTGCACTCGGTTGCCAGAACGAATGCTCCGATTGCTCCGAATGCTCCGGAGTAGGGTTATATAAGCACGTGGCACTTCGATATATCGCACCAGTGTTTCGATAACGTCAACACTTTGCTCCGGTTTAATTTTCGCGCAGCTCGGCGGTACTTGTCGAGAGTACCATTTCACGTGACAAATATTTGTGCGCAAATATTTCGGGCGATTAGTGCACGTAATTGATTAAATAATGCGCATCGCAAAATATCGAGTAATCTCGAACGACCGGTCGCGAGTATCGAGTAACGAGCCTGTCTAGAGAAGAGGAGGGGATTTACCCCCACCAAAAGCACCTGTTGAACAGGTCACCCGGTATGATGGATGGCCGTAGGTTTTTGTTTTTGTAGGGAACGTAGTGTCTAGCGAGTTATCTAATGCAAAATGTATATAGTCACCAAGTCACTGTACGAAAAAAAGAACGGAAAGAAAAACTATTCTATATTACAGAGAATTTTTTAAAATATAACAGTGCTGGATGCCTTTACATTTTAGCATCTATTGAATTTTTCACGAACAATTAATTTGTAGCTTTTTCATAATTTATATTAAAATTGTTATGGAATGTCAACGATATTGATTAATACCGGTCAATGTTATTCCGCATATCGTCGCATGAAATATTTCATACTTACTTTTCTACCGACAGGTGGATCGCGGTCTGATTGACTGTTCGTCAATAGAGGGGATCACATGGACGAAAGGGCGTAGAGATTGAACATACGATAAATTGAATATAGCAAGAACTTTATAAAAGACGAGGCAGACTCACAGATGGTTTAAGTACATTAGTATTTGTCTCAAAACTCTTGAGAGTTTTTGCATTTGAGAGTGTGTTTTGCGTTCGCATCTTTGTTTTTTTTTCTTTTTCTTATATATATATATTGTTGTAATCATTTTTAATAGAATCACATGGATGAAAAAAGGTCGCAGAAAACGTGCTTTTGCAGGGTGCTCGAAAGTCGTGTACGGATATATAACATTAATTTAAAGGAGTCCCCGTTCGGATGACAGATGGCGGAAAAAGGAAACGCCGAACTATACTTGACATAAGCTTCTTCGTGTTGCGCCATAGTATCGTCGCCTATATATATTTTTTTTTATCTGGACGATGAATATGCATAAACAATAAAGTGAAACTTTCTTATCATAAGGAAAGAAAGATCTCATCGATTTATTTGCTTTTTTGTTAAGGTTTCCTCCTTCATTTAAGACAACTGGATAATGTACGGAGTGTCCCAGAATTCGCGCACGCGGAACGTACGGTTCGTTATGTCAGAAGAAGCAACTTTTTCCTCTGGCAAAGTTGCGTCCGAAGGAGGCCTTAAGTTTCGCATAAATCAGGAGCTGCACGTGCTGAACGCTGCCTCACTATTCTTCTAAAAATCTTATAACTATCGAGTACACTATTTGGAGTACATTAATGAGAAAGTTTTCTAATCTCTAAAGCAACGGCTAAAAATTAACTAAGTCGATTCCAAGAGTCTAGAGACGGACTTACGGATTTAAGAGATTGGACATTTTAAAGCATATATTCACAATAAAGGCCTCCCACTTGTTAACAATATTTATCTTGCAAATAAGATTTTCTTGTGCAAGTTAAATCACTAGTCACATTTAATCCATTTCCAACCGTCACTTCGAACCCGGTGAGAAATGATTCGTCGATCGATGTCAAATCGACGTCAACTTGACGGTGTCGATGTCGACTCGACATCGATCGACGAGTCATTTCTCACCGAGGGGGAAACCGCTGAGGGCATGTGGTGTACAGATTTGCGGCATTACTGGGCATTTTTTGGGCATTAGGTCTTGCTGGGGCATTATAAAGATAAAATAGGATATAATAAGATAAAACGAGATAGACAAGATAATAAGATAAAGCAATGCCCACTGGGCATTAGTGGGCATTGGTGTACAAGATTTTGGTCAGCGGTTTCCCCTCGTTTCTCGCTGGGAAGATATCAGTTCGATAATTTTCTTTTATTGAGAGTAAGCTGTAATAAAAAATAACGACGTTTACGTATATCGTGCACAGCCGTGACAAAATCTTTGGAGAAAAACAGATAAAATAGATTCGTCACGCACCACCCCTCATTCGTTAGCTTTAAACTATTCTCATTTCAAAACTATTGCTCGGACGCAACTTCGTCGAAGGAAAAAGTTATTTTCTCTGGCACGGAAAATCGCACTGTGCATTCTACGTGCGCGAATTCTGTGACTCTCTGTGCACACAGTGCGTTCGATATCAAATATATGTACATGTAGTATACAAATGTATTGTTACGTGTCTCGTATATATCATATATGTTATATATATGTATATATATGCATATATATATACATGGCTCGTTTAACCATATTCTATTCGCAATCTCGTGCGGTGCACGTTTACCTTGATTAACCGATTTGCCGTTGATTGTTCGTCAGATTCGTCAAATTCGAAAACTCGAGTACGGTCGATCGTGGCAATCCCCCTAAAGTTCGAAGCGATTACTATTTGCAAGTACGGAATCCCGTCGTGGAGGACGACGACGATTGTCGATTACAATATGGAAAAGTGTCGCGATCACGTCGATCGACCTTATGGGGGCGCATAATCGCGCGAATCATGGAAATTGCTGGATCGGCTGCGACACAATGGCGCGGGAAGCGACGATGTACACATTGAAAAATCGTATATACACATATAGGTATAACATGTGTGTATGTGTACGTGTGTGTTCTGTCGAACGAATGCGCGAGTAAACGAGCGTGAATGAAGGTAGAATATAAAACGCACGCGAGAAAGAACTCGTGATCGTTTGCGGGATCGAGAACGATCCGCCGCACGTACAAACTAATAAGCGCGATTGCGCGTGTCGCTATCACTAGAGCATTCTTATTTTTCTGCGTATAAATTTGTCCGCTGACGCATGTCGCTTCCGCTTGCCTTTATCAGTCCTTAAGCCAATTATGAACGGATTAATCGATCGCGATCAGTTAGAAGCGAATTAGCTTAAATATTCAAATTTTATTCAGGTCGGGATCCTATACGTTTTAAATGTCACAGATAAATATTTTCCCATTAAATTAATCAGAAATTACAAAACGAACCTTCAAGACGATATCTCTGATCAAACAACAAAATCACTTCATCAGTTCACATTTATTTCTCTAAATCTTGCATATTTTGGTTGTCAGCATCACGTGTTTCTTGCTTGGTCAACGTTACGTAATCGTTTAATAAAGATAGATTTCGCTTGTCATTCACTACGTCAGCGCACCGTTCTCGCGAGAATGAAATTAATCGACTGAGTCGTCGAACCGTGTCGGCTACACGAGGAATTTAACACTAACAAGTTTGTAATCGAGTGCGCAGTAAATGCAGCGAGTATCAAATATCGTTCGCGATCGTCTACTTTGCTACGTATCTCCGTCCGAGCTTGACTCAACTTCTCAAGTATGTATCTCACGGGAATTATCGACAAACTTGTTACTCAGTAATATCGAAGTTAACGTAAAAGCTACTGGCGTACGAATGCCGAAAAATTCCTACTGGCGCTTCTACGTAACGCGAATCCTCGCCGTGGCAATAAAAAAATGTTTAGATTATCCGTCGCGGAGATTTAACATTGTCTTAAATCGCAGTGTCATTTTAGTGCGATTTTTTTTTTAAGAAATAGAAATTTAGGGATCGACGTTAATTTGAACTCGAGACATGCTGTCAGGATCTCCTCAAACGTGTTAAAGCGGAAACGCCGGGGATCACGTCGGCGGACAAACATTCGATTCTCATCGTGGTAAGATGAGATTAGGTGCGATTGTCAGAGCTGCTGCTGCTATATACGCCTGCCACGAACGTGAGTTCGCGTAGAAAGTTTCGGGTGGAAGGGAGCGCTTTCTCCTGCGATTGGACGTTTATTCCGGCCGCAGGATGTTGAGGGAATCTTCTCGCTGGGACGCGAGCAAGACCGATAAAATCTCGATGAAATTGACTGCAGTACTAGTACACGGATTGTGCGCGACATGGGCGTTTTGTTACGAGCTACTATTGCGAGTCTGGTCCTTTCGCAATTTTTTGACACTTTGTTGCAGTTTCCCTACACCGCTTGCATCGTCGCCGTAACATTCTTCATTAAAGATCTTCGCACTTTTAATGATTTCTGATGACTTATTGATATTAGGAATAATCGAAATATGTCGTGATATATAAAATATGTACAACAATCTTTGTTGTGTCGCGTGTAGATTAATTAATAATACACAAATTGAAATGTGCAAAAATGTGAAATAAATGAATTAATAAGAAGAATTCGTTAATAAAGAGAGAGTTGGAGCTTCTTCCAAAGCTAAAGTCTAATTTGGAAACATTTCACGCCACTCAATAAAAAGTTCTTATAATTGATTTCGAAATTAATCAAACTGTTAAAAACGCGGAATTTTTTAGATCAATCCTTCGGTAAAAAAAAAAGACTGTCTCTTTTATTAAAAATTTGGCAACTTAGTCAGGAGATTTTTTTCAGGTCGAGCAAAAATAATAATGCAAAAATGCAGATTGTTACGCGACTTTGATTTTAGAAATGACACGGAAATGCGTCGCTGGCGGTATGACGAAATCTCCTGATAGATTGACATTCACTATAGATGCTATATGGGGGAGACGAGTTTCTAGCTGCGAGCGACGTATCACCTGAAAGTCCACGTACATATACACACACGTGTACACATTATGACGTAGGACAGTTTCGGCTGTACGTAAGTGTGTATGTACGTGTTCACGGGGAACATCCAACGTGCGGACCGGTGATACTGTATCGATCAAATGTTACCTGCCGGTGTCGCAGATGTATACATATATATCTGCGGGGATGGTACATGGTTCGCATAGCTATGTATTTCGGTAACGTACGGGGCTCGCACGTACGAGAAAATACCGCGGTGAGGCGGAAATTATTGCATCGTTCTGACGGCAGGGAGTTAAGTAAGACGAGAACGCCGTTAAGAGAGACCGCGAAATTCTGTAATTACTGCAAACGAAATTTTGTTCGAGAAACGTATCTACGGACACAAGAGGTATAACTTCTGCAGCGTTGTCTCAACCGAGAGAAAGAGAGAAAGAGAGAACACGTCCGAATGAAAGGTCTAAGCTGTACGATTCAACGTGTATTTATAAAATTTCAGCTGTATATGCTACACACGTGCAGCTCACTGCGCTCTTGCAGCGGTATATCAAGTGACAAAATTATCGCCTCTTGCAAATTCTTTACAAGTGCTGTAACGCAGACACTGAAAAAATTTTAGAATGACCGCGTATGCACATGCCGCTGAGAAAAAAATACTGCCGAGATTTTCAATCTTTACTCTCCTCGCCTAATAAGTTTTACTTTAGTTATAGATTTTCGTGAGATATAACGCTGTCGTAAATCGGAAAAGAGAAAATTACAGCTGCGTCAGTTGTTCGCGTTTCACGATCAGACCGCCAGGTCGGAATGTCTGCACCTGGTTACTGGGTCTAATATATTTGATCGATATGCAATAAATATGAAATTACGACACAAAAACAGCGTAGTTTCACCGAGGTCTTTTTGCACGTGTAACGACGTAAATAAAAATATTACGAGCATTAGAAAATTAAATGGGCGATTCTGACCTCAAACTTATAAATATGTAACAGTGGAAGAATCGTATGGTAGCTTATTTGCTTTCTTTTCTTTTTTTATTTTTACCCTGATCGTTTAGCCTTCCACGAAAGGCAGTCTGGGCTTTAAAGGCCGCGAATGACGACGTTCCCAGTTTAAATGCCTTTAATTGTCGTGTGATACTCTATTGTGTATGCTCGATTGGTTCCTTGAAGACGCTCGAAAGATAGGCGAGTTGTAAAAGAAATTTATTCTGCAAATTCGAATTTTTAATCTTCGAAGCCAGAAAATCTCCCACGAGAACTTCGGAAGCCTAGTTTATATTCCTGTATCGCTAATTTATCAACACGGTGGTTTAGATGTTTCATATGAAAGAGACGCTAGAATTTATCTTCATCTAAAGGAATGAGTCTTTTTTTTAAACTTTCCGTTGTTTCAATTTTTATAAAGATGAATGAGAATGATAAATATTAAAAGTCTATTTTCGATTACGAAAATACGAAATAAATGCAAGTTCGCAAAATATATTATATTTTTTTCAATTCCTATTAATCCACATACGTCTCGGATAGTCAGTTTTAGAATTAATAGATACTCCCGGCACAATCTCACGGCTAAATATCTGTACGGCGAGTAGCGATAGCTTGAATGGAAACGTAGATTTATATAACAATGACACTCTTAACGTTCGTAGTAAAAAGATCAATTTGAAGGTGACGAAATCGACTAGAGCGTCCGAGTGAACTCAATTTGCACAACGATGGCATTACGCGCATCGCGATGCGGCCCTTTAGGGCCCCCAATGAAGAAGCACGGGTTTCGTGCCTTTACCATTTCCTCCTCGTCCCCTCCGGCTCTTTCACTTCTCTCGTATTTGTTCGCTTATGTAACATTGACTGTACTCTAAAGTTCTGTTTAATATACGTACTACGATAATTACAGTATTGTTACTTGGCTTGGCGACTATGCCAACGCGCATATCCTCTTATTTCCACGGCGATGTACACAATAGGTGAAAAAAGTCTTTAGAGGAAAATAGGTTCTTTAGTAAATTGACAAGTAGATAGATTCGTGTTCGTGTATATGTGTCGCGTATGCGTAGCTGTGTAGAGTTGTGTGTATATGCGTGTGCGTGTCGGTGTAGAGTCGAGGAGAACGCGACCCTAGACTTCACCCTACGATTCTCTTTTCCCGGTCCTTTTGCTCCCTACCGTGTTCCTGCGTTACATGGATACGGTTCTGTCTCATAAAATCGGTGATCGTTTGCAAACGTCTCGCATAAAGACTGACCCCGTATTCAGGGAATACACGGCCCGCCCAACGCACAACATTCTGTATTGTATATTTCTAACGTGTCTTATGAAAAATGAAAAGGTACATTTTTATAAGCTGGATGTATAATAAAAAAGAATTACGAGGGAAAATATACGCCAAGAAAGTTATGGAACTGAAAGAAACTCTTGCAATCCTGTCAATATGATGTGCTGTAACAACTGAAATTTATAATAACGAAAGAAACCTGAAACGAAAGAAACCTTAAAATATGTGTGAACCTAAATTTCAATTATACCATACTGTTAAATTAAACGCTGCAATATGAAAATGTAATTTACAAAGGAACGAATTGAAAAAGATACCAACCATGTGCTTTACGTTAGGATTATACACAATTCCTTCGATCGTTATGCGACTCCTGTCTTCGATACCTCTCGAAATCCGCTTGGCGCGAGATATTGCACCGACATACATAAGACAGAACGCGGCGTATATATGCACGCCCGACGAGTTCCATGTCACATTCCCGCGCGTTTGCCCATCCCCGCAATTGCGTCGGGTCTGCGGCCGTCGGCCGTACCCTCAGAGAGGATCGCCCCGTCTGGCGGCCATCTTCGCCGCTCTGGAGGCCAGAGCGCCCAAGGAGCACACCAGCCCCGTCAGCGTCTCCCAGAATGTGGTCCTGCGTCGCTTGTGCGCCGCTTGGCCGACGTATCCCAGATAGTAGCCGGCATACCGATCGTTGTTGCCGGTGGCGCGATTCTCGTAAGTGCCGCCGCCACCGCCTCCGTTGCTGGACCTGGCGCCGACGCTGGATCTGGGCTGCTGCAGGATGCTGCGACGATGCTCCTGGCCGCTGCGATCGATGCTCCGTCTGGGCGAGGAGACACCGCTGCTGCCGCTGCCGCCGTTGCTGTGCCGATGGTATTGTCGCTGCTCCTCGAAGAGTTGTTGCTGCAGCTGCACGTTACTTAACCGTCGATCCATCATTCTGACTAGATTCTGATGCACCCGCTGGTCTTCCTCCGGCATCGCCGCCGTCGGCAATTGACGCCGATAACCCGGTGGTGTTGGTGACGTTGGTAACTCGCGTTCCACTTGTCAAGCGTATTCGGTGTCGCTGGACGCCGACCGCTCAAGGTGACCCGGATGACCCACCACCGAGTGATGCTGCTGATTCGGGTGTTGCTGCTGTTGCTGCTGCTGCGCCTGTGCATACGCCAGACTCTTCTGGTAGCTGAACAACTGCCTCTCCAGGCTGTAGTTCTCCGCCTGCAGCGACACGATCTCGCGTCGCATCTGCTGATTGTGGACGCGACACACGTCGTCGTACTTGTGATAGGTCGCCTGAAAAAGCAGGTGGCTCTCGTTCCACTCTAGCCGGATCCTCAGCTGACCCTTATCCGTAAGATAGGGACAGTGATTCTCCTTCACTTCATTCATGTCCACGTTCGTCTCCATGATGATACCCTCGTCTACGGACTCCTGAACGTAGTAGCGGCTGAACGGTTCGCCGGGCAGCCCAATCGCCGCGACGTTTGGTCCCTCGCCCCTCAGCAGATACGCCGACCAACTGACATACCTGTTCGGACAAAGAAAATCTCAAAAATTTAATCTCCTAATCATTGCACAACATCTCTTCAACGTTTCTTAAACTTGATTTATCTAGAAAGGAATATCTATTTTTGTTAAATTTTATTATCAATAAATATTATTTTATTACTTTTAATTAATTTCAATGGTTTACTAACTAAGGCAATAAACCATTGCAATTTTTCAACGATTGAGTATTTTTACTCATTTACATTATTACTCGCTCACAGACCAAAACTTTTTTTTGTAATGAAAGATATTAAGTTGACAAAGATATTCAGAAAGATTCGGTAAAAACGTTTAAAGACACGCAGCAACATTTTACGATTAAATTTGAGCTTCACAGAATTTGATTTCAATTTTTAAAGATAAAAATAAAATATACCTTAAATGATTCCTCGGCACATTATGGATGTCTTTGTACACCAAGTGCAGCCTAACTGTGTCAGAGTTGAGATCGGCGCGGATGGCCCAGGCCTGTTTGTCGCGATCGTAGCAAGGCGCAGCCGGCAGGACCGACGGTCCCAGCGCCTGCACCGCGACCTCGCAGATGGTCCTCGCCTCGAGCATCTCGAGCGACACGCGGAGCGTGCCCTTGTGCGCGATGTCGGACCATTTGACTCTCGTGTGCCATCCGAAGCCGCAGCCCTCAGCGTCGGATATATCCTCGATTTGCCCGGAATCTATCCGCCGGTCACCGTCGCCCAAGGCCAAGCTGTACCTTACCCTGCACCGATGATCGAAACCCGACAATCTCATCAGGTAGACGCTCACGCGGCTGTCTTGGCCGCGACCGTCCGCGTCCTTGCCGTGCGGATAGATGACCAGATTCCAGTCGAAACCGCCGAACGCGAAGTAGTCCGTCTCCAGTTTGCTCGGCTTCGTCTGACCGGCCGAGAACACCGACGTCGGCATCCTGACCTCCGTCATGTAGACCGTCCGCACGTTCGCCATGGACAGCTCCAGCTGAAATTCGCCGTTTGTGTCGGCGAAATTACGGCTGTAGAGGTCCGCCACGGCGATGTAGCTGCGGTTGCCCTGGGCCGGCGCCTCGTAGGTGAACTTGACGCGCTTGCCGGAGAAACTCTCGTTCATGGAGAAGTGCTCCCGATTCAGCAGCGTGAACGTGAAGTCGACGTATACGCGGAGGTTTCTTGACGCGCCACGCCATACCAAGTACACGCCCAGGACCTTGGTAGGATAAATCGAATGATAGCGATAGTCGCTATTTAATTCTAATTCTATTGCATCTTTCGAGACCAATTAGACGTTTAATGATTGAAGACGAGGAGACTTAAAGTGATAATCTTTCCCACGTATCTCGTACAAGAGAAACAAGTTTTTACGCCCACTTTCTGTCGAGAATTAAACAGAAATTTGTAGGGACAATTTTCCAACTGACAATTCTGCTCGGTAAGTTAAAAGGAGGTCACCGATCGAATTACCTTTTCCCCGCGCGAAAAGGCGACGGCCCATCTCTGAAAACCGCATACTAGTTCCTTGCTGGTAACGTCCCTCTCAGGATCGCGCACGACGGTCCTAGTGACGACGAAGGAGAAGACCCGCGTGCCACTGCGATCGTGCAGCTGCGCGAACCTATACAACAAAGCCATCACCGCATCTCGAGGGCACCGTTACCCCGATGGTCCGCGATGGTTTACGAGAAGGATTCGTCTTGGTCGATTTACGATAATCTGAAAAACATAACATTCCATCAATCTCTGTGGTGCCTAATAACAACTCGATAAGAATAAAAGGAGAAAAACCTTTCAAAGATGATGCAGTTATCATTCCGATATTTTTCGATTTTTTTTTCCAACATATTTTAGACTCGCGTTGTTTTAAAATACTAGACGGCATTTTATTACAACGAAAATGGTAATTGTCTTCTGTCTTAATTAAGACTTCAATAATGAATGACTCGAAATGTCAGAAATGCTGAATATTCCTGTTGAATATTCTCTTTGAAATTTAAAGCGCGGCAGCCAAAAAGTTCTTGCCCGACTTTTCTTGGAGTATTCAGTTCAAGGTAGTATTCATCATAATCCGCTTTCATTCCTAAATACTGCTAGGTACGTAAGAGTCTTTGTGGTATTAATTGTCATGTATAACGGAGCACGACAATGAAACGGGCGAGTAGGCTCTAACGCAGGGTTTTTCAGGAGAAGAACACGCGGAAACGTGACCTGATTTCGTGAATAGCAAACTTTTCTGTCGTTGCAGATGTGCGAATTTTAGATTTCGCTTCTAATGCGAGCTTCGGCGAGGTTAGCAGCCTACCGAAGATGAAGTAAAACCAAATGCTCAAAGTACCAGAACGAACTGAATAAAACAGGCTTTAAGCCTAATACACGAGGAAGAATAAGAAGCTTCTAATGTGTAAAAAATATGTGTGCAAAGAAAGCAAGAATTTCACATATTTTGATATATATATATATTATTATTATTATGTATGTAGTATGTATGTGTGTGTCTATGTGTATGTATCTGTGTATATACACATATATATCGTAATGCCGTCAGTGTTCCAATGCCATGAAATTCATTTAGCAGTTATAACTGACGCTGCGCTATTCTCTCTTTCCCTCTCTCTTCACTGATCTACTAATTTACATCCACGAATATGCTGGGATAAACTGAATTTAGCACTTTGCGGCCTGTGTCAAATTACATTCCATTGCAAAGCCGCATTTTGGAATCTGCGAGAGTCGCAATGTATTATGTATCGCCGTTCATACTCGCCTATTTTCACATAATACGCTCTATCCATGATGATCCATCCATCAATCTGTCATTTGGATGTCATGTAATGCGAAAGATAATAATACGTGTCTAGTAAATCATGTAAACGTGATTAAGAAAATTCAATAGCACGACAGGAGCAACCATGTGAAAATAAAATAACTCTCAAAGCTTTGTAAAAATTAGAAAAATTTGTCTGAGAAGAATGTAGGGTCCTGATCATTTTTCGTCGATTATTGTGTTATTTTTGCGCCGGTATTGGTTTTCAGTGTATCTACAACGGGTGTATGAAAATTACGTTATTAAAAAACGTTCAATAGATCATCATGTCGGCGTTGAAGAAGGAAGACACTCCCGAAGTCTTCAGGGAGGCTATCCTTTATCGTGAATGGGGCTATCGACTGGCCAGTCTGGGCAGATACCTCTTGGCCATAGATTATTTCGAAAAGGCGTCCAAATCGGCCGAGGTCGAGGACCTTAGAACGTTAATTGGCCTCTACAAAGCGCTCATTAAATGCACAAAATATTTCGCGGCAGAAAAACTGTCGGAGAAATGTATGAAAATAGGTACGACCGTAAGAAACTTGCAATATAAAATTGAAAACATAAAACATTGTAAATACTAAAGATATTTTTTCTGCACTTTCATGGTAATATGCAAATGAATGCTAATGTAGTCATCTCTGTTATTAATTATCCCCGCTTTGCTCGTGTGCATTTATAAAAACAACACGTTCGCGCCTTCCGTTTATTCAGCGTTATTTTCTTGAAATTTACCTCGCTCCATATTTTCTGCCTACAAATGTTTATCCTATAAAGTATCGTGCCGTATGAACGTTCGTCGCTTAAGCGGCGTCGATCGATGGCGTCCGATAATCGTCTTTCGGTCGATAATTTTATAAAAAACAGCAAAAAATAGCGGACACACTTGATCTCTGCGTTCGTGCATCGTTGTACCATACTCCGTCCGCAGATCCCGGTCATTATAAAGTACGGCAGATGCGAATGGAGGCGCTTTTCCAGATCGGTGAGTTCGGTCACAGTCTGGTTCACGCCTACGTGGGTGTGCGACGGCACAGGGTGACCTTTGAGCACGGCGTATATCAGGCAAACGAGACCATCGAAGATTGCATCGGCCGGAACACGTCGCCCGTCGCGCTGCTGCTGCTCTACCCGTGGATACAGTGCTTGTGGCAGCACCGCGAGCTCCTGATCGGCAAGGTCGAAGAGGAGGAGGACCAGCTCGAAGGTGCGTATCGCGATTAGAGCAAAGGTGGGCAAATGATTGTGCTTGCTCGCGATATCGCCGCGATCAGTTCTCGTCGAGCAAATACTCGACTCAACGACTGCCCGTCGAGAGTAATGTCGAAACAGTCGTCTCGGGATAGCGCTCGCTGACTTTTATGAGATGAGATTCGATTTTCGCGATGGTAGAGCAAGAAAATACTTGGGTTCTTATCGGACCTCGCTTTACCGAAGCGAGGTCGATCGGAGTAACTGTGATATAAGTATGTGATCGATATTTCTCATGTGATACGATCGGGGAATCGACACATCTCTCAATGATTTTACTAAAAAATATTATTTATCACGTTACTCGTAAATAATACGAAGTCTTGTGTAACTATATTGAAACTGCTTCAGCATGATTCGACAAGTTTAAATTGGCTCTATGATCGTAGATGTCGTAGAGGACGAGGAGAGATTCAAGGTGAACGATCCCCGAGTGCAACGGCAGGCACGAATGGAAAGACTGCAGCGCGTCATAGCGAAAACGGATATGGGTTATTTGACGATCGATAGGGATTTTCTCGAGGACCTTGTGAAGCGGCCAGAGATCGTGGCTTCGCTGAGCAAGAGGTCGACTGCCGAGCTGCTGGCCCTAGCGAGTGCTTGCTATCGCAATGCGATGTATCTGCAGGATCTTCTGCGTATGAGACGGCCGCTTTACGTTACCCTCTTCCGGCGACGTAAGATTCCAAAGGGTCGCAAAATGATGATAGAACAAGAGCGAAAATTGCGAAGGAACATCGTCATTGTAAAGGCGGATTTTCTTTTGCGCCTCTTGCAAGCCGCGAGGATCAACAAGGACTACCCGGCCTTCTTCAGGTCGGTAGCAATGTGCGGACTTACTTAGGTCGCCAATGTACCAGAGGAATATACCGTAATATTTCGAACCTTGTTTGTATCTTGAAATGGAGATACTCGAGAAGCACTCAAATATTATTGCTGCATGGCTGGGATTATGTGGCAGTACATTTGTAGAAATTCATCAAACTACTTTATGAATGTGAAATTGTATGAAATTTAATATCATGATCCTATACCAGACTCGTCGGTCACATTAAGGACAACTTCGACGCTTACTCGGACAAGTTGTTTCCGTTGAAGCAAAGGTGTCTGAACGCGCTGTACAAAACGGTGGCACAAGTGTACCTCGACACGCGTAATTTAACGTGTCTGGACAACGAGGAAATGAAGACGAGATATGTGAAGCATCATTTGGGAATACGAGTCGCAACGTTGCCCCGAGACAGTGATCTCGCGTGGATGCCGACTGTAAATCCGAAGGAGACGCTGAAGGTGTTCCGGAGGTATAATTCATTTATAAGTAGATTTCGGGGCAGAATATGTGATGTCTCGTAAATTTCCTGTCTGTTTAATGCAAGTAGTCATTCATATTTTATTTCCGTGCTATTAGAATTTCTAGCCACGAGAGCAACACAGATAAAACATCTCGTTGGAATACTAGTTTTCCGTTTATTTATTTCTGCAAGTTTCATTCTTAACGCTCTGGCAAATTCGCTCTTTGAAGTAACAGCCATTACTCTAGCATTAAACTGCATATTTTATACGATTATAGATTACGTAATTAGAAACGTTATATAATTTAGGGGCGTGTAATTTACAGTTATAATTATGCTTGCGGTTAGTCCACTAGTTCCCATTTAACTGATCGATATTTCGAAAATGGCTTCGATATTTGTGGTTCGAACAGGAGATTAGCTATGGCATCCGCACCGCTCGAGCTCGCCTGGCTGCACCATGAATTTTGCAAGTTTCTCTTCGGCATACGTCGCCTCGATCTGGCCAGATTCTACGCCAAGAAGGGACACGATATGGCACGGAAGGCAAACTGTGACCAATGGGTCCTGAACATCGATCATCTGATGCTGCGAATAGAGATCTATCAGAATAACCGGAACGAGGCGAGAGACATCGCGATTCTAACGCTCGCGCACGCCAGAAAGCTTAATATCGATTGTCTGGTAAAAATAAAATTCACAATTTCGCATACCTACTCGTAACGGCGTCGCCATTTTGCGGTCGAATTTATTCCACGCGATCGATATGCACACATTATTTAAAATTAGCTTGCGGCGCGCGAGAGAACGCGTTTAAAAAATATCGGAAAACGACGAGCGAAACCCACTCGCGCCGCCTCCAGCAATTTGCACTAATTTTTCCTCTCTTCAGAGCAATCTGCGCCGTCGGGGTCTCTTGAATTTTTTAATATATGAAGTCTAACGGCTCTACGGCGAAATACATTCATTGATGCATTATCGCGAGTCATGTTATATTTACTAAACGAATCAAAGCTAATTTTTCAGAATTTTACGTTCTCGTTACATTTTTTTTCGATCATTGAAAAACGTTTTTCTCTCCTTTCGTCAAGAAGTTACGCATTCCTGTTTGCAACCACAGCTCTTTACGTATTAGAAAAAGCTAGGAAAGTTCTGGAAAATCCCTTCATAAAAACGAATGTAACGATCCCCTTTCGCGAAAAGCAATTTTCGCCATTACGCGACACAATTGAGTCGCTGACGTAGGGATAAGCAAAGCATTCTCCATTGACAAGGTGCTTAATTCAAGGGCCGGTCTCATAATGTTTCCGCAGATAGATTTCTATGAAAGGGCTATGAGGGTCGTGGACGAGCTGGACGCGGAGCGTAGCGGCGACTTTGACGGCATCGCTGCCAGGCAACAGCTTATCCTCGAGCTGATGCCGAAGGAGATGAAGGGGGAGGTGGATTTTCTGTGGCGGCGAATGGACGTCGTGCCCGCCGAGAGGAGACTCTCCGTTATGCCGGGCTGCAAGCCGATCGATCGAAAGTTCAAAATGCCGTCCACGCGAAGAACCATATTACCCAGCCCGCCGAAGGACCCGGTGAGGGACGCGAGGATCGCTCTGTTAAAGCAGCATGCCCTGCCGCGCAGGCGACCGGGTTTCGTGAATTTTCAAGAGTTCGAATAATCGATCTTCAGTCGGCTCGCAAACAGTCGTGTTTTCGCATTGTTTGCGCCGCAATTCATTGCAAATTATCGCCGGATAATCAACGCCAGCCGCAGATGTAACGATTCGCATTCGCGAATGGACTCATTCGACCGTTACGTTATTAATGCGCATTTGCTCATTTCATATTTATCGAAAGCCATTAAAAATCTGTACCTCTGGCGACGCGAGATTATTCGATTACTCGGTAATATTTATTTCATAAATAATTACCAAAGTTTTTTTTTCAATTTAACAGTTTCTATTTCACGTTGATGGAGGCAATTTATTTGTTTACGTTTTGTAGTAGGAAAAATACACACATTTAGAATACGCTCGCTTTGATACTCGTTAGAGTAGCCTCATGCTGCTTTCTATCTTCGTCGGAACCAAGGGGGGTAACCACTTTATGTAATCATGGGACAGTATCTCCGAAATTATTATAAAATCCTTACAAAATCCCCATGTAATCGTTTTGCCTTTATTTTTCAGTTTCTTCACTTGTTAGACAATGAACATAAAATTTCAACATTTTCCCAACTTGTTTTCATTTCCCCCCAAAATTTACCTCTTTTAGTGAATATTCAAATATATATCATAGTTCACGATTTTATAAGCGCGTATTACTTTTTTCATAATAAGACTGAAGTAGTTGCTAGGACAGTGAGACCACGGTTAGACTGATGGGAAAAGTGGGAAGCGAGGAAATATGTTTTCTATATACCTAACCGAATACTACAATCTTCATTGAAATTACTTCTACAAGCAAATACTTATTAGTAAAATCAAAAAGATATAATGTTTTGAGGAAATCTAACAGCTCTTAACACTATTTTTAAACGTGCATATAAGAAAATTCTTTGCAATTAGATGAAATTATTTGTAATCAGATCAGGGGCGTAGCTACCGCCGTATCAGCCGTAACAGTGATATGGGGCCCCCGGGCTAGAGCGGCCCCGACGTGTGTAACCCGACAGTCGGGTAGAAGGGCCCCCCCGACAAGTTTTGATACAGGGCCCGTCTAGGGCAAGCTACGCCACTGAATCAGATGAAAGTGTATGAGATCTAATTAAATCATGTAATCGGTGGGACAACATTTTATGCTAGTGGTTACCCCCTTGGTCGGAACTGGGAAGGCGCCTAGATCACGCTGTCGAAGTAGCGCGACATTAAGAATTCTCGATCAACGTTACAGCTTGCTACTTTAAATCACGATCGCGCACAGTGACTTCTCTTTTCATTCGCCATGCATCATCGCGCTGCCTCGTTATCCTCGCGTTTCAATCTGGTGGCGCTTGACAGGACCATTTCGCCGAGGTGCACGCTCGTTTTCCAATAACGACGTCGCGCCTCCCAATCCGAGATGAGCAACATTCTGGCCGCTCGCGGAGCTACTGAAAGCATCGTAGCGGAAATCTCCTTACCGCAACGACACTCCCCGGCTTTCCACTCTCCCTTCTTTCTTTTCTTCTCTTTCTCAGTCGTTACCATCCCCTGAAATTCCAGTCTCACCCCTTTGCGTTTTCCTCGCCCTATTTGCCGGGCTCTCCGACAACGTTTTAACGCGGCGGTATGCCGACTGGTAATTGGCAAGAATAATTAATTAGCTGCCGCATGGGGACAATATGGTAAAATATTGAGTTGCGAAGAGAGAGATCGCGCGCGAGCGCGCGAGAGAGAGAGAGAGAGAGAGAGAGAGAGAGAATGGAGAAATTAAATCCGAAATTGAATATAACAAATGAGATATGTGTATTCGTGATTTGGGATTTAATTAAAGCCCTTCCGCATTTCCACGACGCGTAAATTTGATGTGTGATGTAAGAACTACGTAGCGTTGCATTTCTCTAGAATTGTACGTTGGAAATAATACGAAACGGATAGCCTTCGGCGGGCTGCTATGCAATGCGTTATTGTTCCAGATACGCACGAAATTTACGAAGACAGATTACGAAGATAGATTACAAAGATTACTTCTCGCGCGCGTAGGTGCTTATAAAACCTGCCGCGTAATAATTATAATAGCGTTCGCGTCTGCTGCAAAATTATTATTACTCATCCTTTACAGGAATTACATTGGTCTCGTACAATTGCGTTAATATACGATTTAGTAAAGAAAACAATCTACCTGTGGCACGTGTAAAACAGAAGATATTGTGTAAATATAATTACATTTGCACAATTAGGTTAACATAACGATCGCATGTGTCATAAACAGATCGTAGCCTGTCATATCGTATCGTGTTATACGAAGAATCGATTTTGAACGAGCGAAATTGGTCGGGAGAGAGGCTTTCGCCCAAAAAACAAATCGCGAGTATCTTCGGTCGGGCACAGACTCACGGAACAGGCGGTATGAATGGCTACCTCTGCCAGATGGAAGCTTAACAGCGCCGTGCACGATCTCGATGTCACCAAGCGGACCGTGGAAAACGCGGAGAGTCGTGCGCGCCTTCAGATAAAGACTAGCACTTCGAAACTGTCCCGTGGAAATGACCGACAGTATGCACAAGCCCTACATCACCAAGCGGACGAGCTGTGCCAACGGTGGAGTAATCAATACCTGTTAACGATATTAAGTGCTGGACGGCATTAACCGCACGTCCCACTTCATATTTCATGACTTTTGATTAGCTCAGCTAATTTGACGCGGGCGTGACGCCAGTCTCGAGGGTCCACGTTGAATAATTCGAGAATCGATCGACCGTTTTCGGGGTTATATCAAAAGCGCATTAACCCCCGACTTCCTTTTTCTGCGACGCGAGTCTAAACACCGGTCGTTTTCTTAATAATATTTTCGTTCCTCGAGAAATTTCGCGCGATCGCATTGGATCGCGAGCGCGTTTAACAATGAGGGAGGAAAGGCTATTGTGCCGGCTTGACGTCCTGTAATTTTCAACTGGAAATTGGATCTGCACACGTGAATGTGTAGAAGTGATCACGGTATATTCCCATTAACTTAGTTATGTCAAAAGTGCCAATACGGATGTAGATTGATCGACATGCATAAGCGATGAAAAAATTTCTATGAGAGAAGAAAACTCTTTATCTTAAATAATTTTTTTTGTCTAAAAAATTGAATCAAGACATTATTCAGTTTGTCTATTGCAATTCTTCCCTCAATTGTTTTTCAATTATACTTTTATTTTTAAGTATCACGTTTTTTAATAAATTGATAACCGTAGCGTTTAACCTATTAATATTTTGAGCAGAAATATTGGTAAATATTTTCGTTAACTGCGTGAATTTATCGGATGTTGTAGCGAGGAGAATTTGTTATCGATAAAACGCAGCATAACTTTGTTGCACTGAATTTAAAATTTAAAGCTCGTTACAATAACTTATCATTATTGTCGCTGAAGTATAGCATTTTGGTCGCACTTGAGAGAAATAGGTCATGGGGAATATCGGAAATGCTACCAATACGTCTCGTTTCCCTGAAAGAACATTCAACGAGAATATCGCTTTACAAACGGTCGATGTTTAGTTTTCGCGGATAGCCATGAGCGTTTTAATTCTACAAATAGATTTCCTCTCTTCTCGTGTTAAAAATTCTCAAATAGCCCGCGGCTGAATTCCTGTGTCAATAAGATAGATGCTTTTTTGCAATCTTACAGTATTATGGCGACATTAAACTTATTAACCGCACTTTTACCGACATTTTTCTAAATTAGTGCCTATCCAATTATTAAATATACTCACAGAATTGATTATTTTATATCTTTATACATATATGCATATTTATATTAAAGCACAATTATTAAATCATACTTTGGGGAATAATATTTATTAATAATGTAACAATTGCTTAATGATTTTTAAAATATTTAAACATTTTATTACACTGCTTATACGATCACGAGGGATTAACGTTGAAAGCTTTATGACAAGAATAATTAATGACAAGAATGATTAATTATCTAAAAATTTACCAACATAAATCGCACAGTGGCGAGTACGAGTCGGCATTGGTGTTATATCATCGAGCATCTATTGTGTGTCCGCACGACAGCAGCCACAGTGTGGTAGCGCGACGAATCGCGGCAACGATAAGCTCGTGGAATAATTCGGAAAAAAGCTCGGCAAGGGGTAATGCAATTTCGAGGGTGGCTTCGAGTCACGAGAGTGCGGCATTCAAAAGACGTGATGTTACGAAATCTTTTGATAATTTATCGATCCCGATTATCCCCGATGTTCTCAAGTAAGAATAGACAGGTCATATAGATGACATCACACGAGATATTTCAAAATCGTGAATCATAATTAATTTTAAAGAATCCTTTGCAAACTTTTTAAAGCCGATATTCTAGTACCTCAAACTTCCGACATTCAAGATTAAATACCATGGCAATTACATCTTGAAATAAAATTCGAATTAAAATTAAAGTCGAGAAGAAATAAATCCTTCGATTTAAAGCAAATAATAGGGCGGCGCTCTAATTATACCTAAAAATGTAAGAAAATTTAATTTGATGAAAGGATTTATCTTGGACAATTTCGGACTTGAATATTATTAAGTGTCTCGATACTTCGATCAAAGGATTTTTCATCCCCCTTCAGATATCTCGATAGTCGCAAGAAGACTTCCCACAAAATTTCTCCCGCGTTAGCACCGTTAACTTCGAAACTAATTCGACGGAGGACGTTGTTGAAGCACATCAATAGTCGCGCCAGTGTCATGCTGAAGAATTTGAAAGTTAATTTCAACGCCGGCAAAATGAAGACTTCTCTGAGACTCGCTGAAGATCTACTAACATTATCTTCCGGCTTGGAGGATTCTCGTCGATATCGAATACCGGCGTACCAACACTTATCTCTGATCCACATGGCCTTGGGAAGACATGATCGAGCGTGCAGCAACGTCGCGATGATGGTGCGACTGTCGAAGGAAACTAACGACGTCGTCCTCCTGTCGCATGCTCTTGTGACTCTGGGCAAGGTGCATCTCAGTTTCGGCCATCTGGAAGCCGCCGCACGTGCCTTAGAAAATCTGTCGATCCACGTCGACCATCCGGTGCCGCGAGCCTGGGTGCACCACGAGATTGGACGCTGCCATTTGGAGACGGGGAAGTACGTCAAGGCGTTGGGCAAGGCGGCGCAGTGTCGGGACTGCGCGGAGGAGGCGAACTCGAAGAAGTGGACCTTCCACGCCGACCTGCTGCGGGCGCAGTGCCTGGTGATGCTGGGTCGTTTTGCCGGTGATGACTCTATTTCTCAAACTGTCGTTCCAGGTCTTTCCAGGAGCATCCCTCTCTTCTTCCTGGGCCAATTTCTTAGTCGAACGAGTCCTCCGCGCGAACAAAATTGCAATGTCGCGAGGGATATTGCATATATCTCTCTCTCTCTGTTTTGTGGAAATTTCAGCCAAGTTTTTACACACTATCTTCTAACTTTTAGAATTTTTCCAAAGTATATATGTATAATGTCTCTCGCCATTTTTGTTCTGCCGAAAAAATAACGCACACTTTTCCACAATTTTACCCGAATTGCTCGAAAAAAATATATCTAAAACGTCTGGTTATATCAGTATTGTGTGCCTGAGCTTACAAAAAAGAAAAGGCGAGAGGAAAGAGGAGCGGAATGAAAAATATAACACTTTTCTCTGACGTATACGCTGACGTTTTTATCACGCGGAATTTTCATTTCACTGTGTCTGTGAGAAAGTGTCAAAATGTAGACCACGGTGAAATATCTGCAAACAACTAAGATACGGCAAAATTGTGGTAGAAATACAAGACGCCTATCTTAGGCATGAGATCAGAGCATTAATAGGAATTTGTTTAGTTTAACATATCTGCATATACATTCATTCGTTTCACTGAAATTATGTAATAATTTACGAGACGTTAGATTTGCTTAGGCACGGACGAAATGTTTGGACGAAAATTATGGAAAGAAAATTCAGTGTACGATCGTCTCTAAGATGAGCTCTGCTTCACACAGAGGCCCTCGAGGAGCTGCGAGTCGCCGCGAAGATCAGCAAGGAGGAGGGCGACACCCCAACGCTGTCTTACATTCGAGATCTAATCGAACAGCTGAATCGTGCTCTGCGCAAAGTCACGTTCGGCGAGGATCGATGCTCCAAAGGTATTCTTCGAAGGTTATCGCCGCGATGCGAAGAGCCTGGACTATCCGAGGGAGACGAGGTGATAACAAGTTCGGGAATTAGGCGAACGACGCGCACCAAGGACAACGACATTTTAACGCCGTCATTCTACTCCGACTGTCTAGAGGACGGGAGCCTCGATCGTCGCGAGATAGGTATGTGTAGGTTAGTTGCGGGAGAGATTTATTGAGAGGATTCAAACTAGTTGTATCCGACGAAAAAGTTAAAAATATTGTGTGAAAAAGCGTTATCCACGGATAAACTTGAATCTGTTATTTTAAAAAAAGGAACATATCCAGCTGAACTGAACTTTTTAGAAAAATCGGAAGAGAGTCGAAAAATTATTCCAAGAGAAATATTGGAATTCTGTTTTTTTTAACGCGTAAGCTGATCTTATTACTGTGCCGTAATGCCGTATTATTCTACACGAGACTAAAATAATTACTTCTTTATTTCTCTTATTAAATAACATTATTAAGAGAAACTTAATTTTTGTTTTTTATTTATCGTCGCATTGTCAAAGAAGCGTTAAATAAAATCTTCAAATTTTAATCAACGACAATTAATACAGCGTCAAATTCAAGTTCGCTGGGCAGTGCCGCGTCCTGCAGAAGTAAAAGGACTAACTTGACGTATGTCATCGACTCAAATACGGACGTTTCATACAGCAGCAAGCTCGACGGTATGAGGATATGTGACGACGAACTTTTGTCACGCGACTCGCACATGACGTTCCAAACGTGTTACAAGGAGTCCAGGCCCTTCATCGACGAAGACAAAGGATCGGTCTCTTTAAAACATCCAATCGCGACGTGCTCCAGTAATGTCGAAATAAGCGGCGGGCAAGCTGAATGCGAGGCATTCAGGATTTCGAGATCCTGCGAGGACGGACGACGTAACTTTGACACCGTTATTGGCAAAATGCACCGCGACACCATTGCTGGAACATCGTGCGGCCATTTGTCACTCGATGAGATAGAAAAACAGAACGACGACGAGGAATCCTTCGTTCGCGAAGCATCCTCCAGTTTCGAAATATCAACCTAAGCTCACTACAACTGAGGAAGGGTGTTCAGAATTGCGTTAAAATTATGACGAAAAATCGAGAGGGTATAGGATGCCGTAACAGTTACAAGCGCAACCAAAAAAACTCTTGAATTTTCCTACTCTTTTTAACACAAAACCTTTGAGATTCAATTATTGATCATGAAAGGTAGAATGATTGCAATAATAAATCGGACAAAAACACAATTTGTGAACTGTCTATCACAACGCGTGCGTTGAATGCGTCTGTTTTTGCTATTTTTTAATATCCGCAAACCTCATCTGATTGCGTAGTGTCCATCCAGTGCGCATCAAGTCACGCTTTATTTGCTCGTTCGAGGTGCATCGCGTGTGTAATTGTGCATCGCCGAATGAAGTGCCAGGCGACCGTAGTCGCCGTGTTTAATGAGAGCGCGCGATCATAATTACGTGTGCTTTTTTTTACTACTATTCGTGTTTGTGTTCGGCTTCGAAAAGTGAAATTGAAACAGTGATATAGATGAACAACCTGTACCAATTGACCACTCTATTATCTGTTCGCATTCGTTTTATTTTTCTGCAACAATTTAATATTGCGAAATCTTTTCAATCCTTTTTTGTAAAAAAAAATAATTGACTATTTCACCCTAGTTCAAACTGAATTTTTACCATGTTTCCACGTAAAAGAGAGAATTAAGATCTTTAATACTTCTGCAACAACTCCATTTTGCGAAATAAGACGACAAATAAGTTATTAGTATTTCTACGCATTTGCATTAATATTTTAATAATTTAAAAGAATTTGTTATATGTCCGAAAATAACGTATGAAAGATATGGTTTTGAAACGTAATCGTTCAAAATGTATATGTGTTGCCACAAAGCGTTCAAATGATAAAAAGTGAGCTATATAAAATCATTGTGCGATAAACAAACCAGCACGTGTCGCGGAAACGAATGAGTTTATTTAATCGCGTTTATCGCGCTCGTGAGGATACATGTGTATACCTCGCCAAAATTCAATCGAATTTGATGTCAAAGGGTGAAGCGGCGTGGAAGGTATCAGCATCGAAGAGCAATCCACGCGTGTAGGCGTGACAGCTCGTCTGCGTAGCATGTAAAATATGAAAGGACGGAGAAAAATACGATGGAGAGGAAGAGGAGAGGAGGGTGCGAGGTTCTAAAAGCTACCTGTTGAGCTATCTACGTGTTCTCGGCAGGCCTCTTTGTCGAGCTGCCAAGATGGCGAAGAAAATAAGTCGGGGCACGCGAGAGTTTACAATATGCGCAACCACGATTGCGACCTCAGCTGCGGAGGTTTCAAGTTGTTAAAGAAACACATTTCAAAACTCCGTAATAAACTAATTATTTTCAGGCGAGGTACTTTAATTTAATTACGTGTGGTAGGACAAAATTCTAGCGTTATATGCATTTTTATCGCACGAAAATGTTACAATTTCTAACACTATAAAATTATTATATATCCTTAGAAAATTACTAAAATAAAATAAACTTATGTACTAATCAAAGGCATAAAATTAATTCTTAAAAAAAGTTAACTGCGAGTAGGTAATTGACGGGACATAGTGATTGTATTGTATTGGAATAAAATTTTGAGATAGAGAGAGAGAGAGAGAGGGGGGGGGGGAGAATTTTATTGTAAATAATTGTTACGAAAAAATGCAGACCGAAATCTAGGACATCTGTACAAATTGCACAAATAATAAAAAAGGCAGACACAATAATCTAATTTCCATAGCTAAGAAATCCTTTCGTTGTTATTCAATTCGCATACGTTGTGCAAATAGCAATGTCTTCGCGCGATTTGTCCTGCTTCACCAAATGGAAAAAACTAGACTCTGGATTATATGAACAAAATGTAAATGCAAACTGCTGTTGTTCTTACTTATCGCAGAAACTGTTGCTGAAAATGTAAATACAACATTTGTTCACTTACCTTCAAGAAAATTATAAAGTGAACATTTCTCCCCCCTCTCTCTCTCTCTCTCTCTGTAAGTAACAAGTTGTAACAAATGTTGCAGACACAAGCGAATAAACGAAAGCTTTTAATATCTGCAAAGCTGAACTTGCGACTACGTGTCGCACGGCGACGATAACGGAAGATGTTTAACATCAACTCCTAAAAAGCAAAGAATTATTCATAGAGTACGGTTTTGCCTCGTACCTCTATCTCGAAACAAATGCTTTTACTTTTATCTCCTCCCCCTACCCTCAGAGAAAGGTCGCTTCCTTGCCACCTATAATACATGACCCACTGTGTAAAATCAGATTCTGTCGTCCCGCATCGCGCACGAATGCACACGACCACCGTAGGGGAAATGTATCGACCGGAAGCCAACAATAGTTTCGCGCGTTAAAACAACCCCGCTCGGGAGTGTCGACAAATTAGTTGAGAAGGGCAATTCTCAAAAGGGTCCCCCATTTTCCACTCATCCCTCCAATTCGCGCGCTAAATCCAACGGCGTACAATAAATCCCCATTAACCCCCGCCGGGTTTTATTTTGAGTACCGACACGTGTGGCCGTTTAGACTGACCGATGTTCCCCAGGTCGGATTTAATCAACTGATTTTTCTTCTCTTCCTCGCAACGAGCTTCATCGCAACGAGCGCGGCAACGGGGAAATCATTTCGCGAGAAGACGAAGGGACCTTCCAGCTTCATTTCGCGAATGTGGTTAAAACCATCTCTTCAACTTTAACTCGCCGGTCGGGAATGTGCGCCTTCTTGCACAGCGTGTATCTCAAACTGAGATTCCGAGTTTCTTGTTAACTCGTTCAGACGGAATTTAATCATGTCGGTAAAGAACAATAAACGTATATTACTTCAGCTTTGAAAAGAAATGATCGTGTCTTGTTATAAGTAACAGTGGCATATTTAGTATCGAAACTCTTACACAAGTTAAATGGGATACCTTTGTTATTCTTTAAGCCATTTCGAATTTTGTATGCAGTATTGAGCGTATTCTACATGCAAAATTGATATAAAAAGTTTCGTGGTAACGTACTGTCTGTCGATGGCTAGAGCTGTACAAGTAGAATCTCAACTCGAAAGAGACTTATGAAAATCTTATATTATACTAAAATTCTTGTGGTTGCCTATTTTTATTCAGCATAAGGCGAGTTTCCGTGTCGCGCCGTTCCTATATCAGCCGTATTTCATTGTCAAGATATCGAAATATGTGCGGTCAAAACTATTTTTGCCATTGGGTTCCGTTACCACCACATGAATTATGGCTGCAATCCAGATGCAGTTGGATATTGTAAGATATGTGTAACAAGTTCTCTCTCCCATATATATGTTTTCGGATAGCTTATTCCAGACACGCTCGATTGTAATCGACAAAAACAAAATAGAAAGAGAGTAAATAAAGGATTGTGAGGCTTTCGATATTTCCATAAAATATAACAATGGATTATAATTGTTCATCATGCAGTTCGCAAATCACAATACGCCTGAATAAAATAATACATACACTGGGCAAACGCGTGGATAAAATGATAATCAAATAATGTAACTCGATCAATATTAATATTTCTAGACTCTGGGCTTTAGTTATATGTCCGCAGTGGTAAAATTCCACAATCGTTATCTCGGCTTTGCCGAGATGCGATTTAATGGAACGCGAAAAACAGAAACAATAGTTCGAATAAGTCCCTCGGTTATGTTTGGCGTTAAAATAATTCATCCGTGGCTTTTACGCGAGCTTTCCGAAACATTACCTTTTACTCTTATCTACGACTGCCACGCGGAAGATAGAATACTTCGCAGCAGCTAAATCGATTTTTGAAGATGCGCCGGTCTGCGAGCGCATGCTAGAACTTCTCGGTGGAATGAAGAAGGATAGAGTCTGCGGGCAGGGAGTCATGGTAAAGCGAGTGGAGTGATGCGATTAAACCGCGTTAATCTGAAATCTTTATCACTGTTCTATCCGACAACTCAATTAAAGGCCGTAATCGACATCGTATTACATAGAAAATCAGTGAATTCCCGACTCCGTTATAAAACCTTCGCAGAAATTATCACGGAAAGCAGAAGATGGTAACAAGTTTTTCAAGTATTTAAATAAAATCAGAGGGAATCGAGTAAGTAAAATAAGTAGAAAATGACAGGTACGCTATCGTCAGACCCGTTCTTGCGTACTCAGCGTTCAGAAATTGCCGCGTTGATTTTAATAAGCTTAAATATTAAGCAAAGATAGCGCTTTATAAGCAATAATTGTGCTCTTCTCGCGAGAGCGCTACATAAGCCTTCGATAAACGCGCGGAAGAGTAATTTTATTTACTCATTATCAATTAACAAGGAGCGAATTATACAAACGCTATTGGCGCTAATTGAATCTTCTTTATGCATTTTCATCGTGGTTGGATGTTTCATATTGAGAGACAGTAATTAAATTTGTGCGCTGTATTTATCGCGTGTTTCCGTTTACAGTCCACGGTGGAAACGTAAAAATGATCGGGGTCGCATGTCCCGCTTTCTAGTTCAAACGATCGCGGGAATAACGCGTGGATAACGCAACGAAGCGTCCATTAGCCGTGATTGATGAATGCGATGTCATAACTTTTATACATTTCGCGTGACATGCACGACCGAAAAGAAAATATTAAGGTATTTGTGAAATCTATAAAATAGTATTTACATGTAAAAATAAATAAAATGTAAAGTTTCTTCGTTGCGTGATTTTTATAGAAATAAATCTACGATAATCTGTATAACAATCTGTAAAATGACAAAAAAGAGATAGAAGAGAGACGGAGAAGCGGTCATAATTTTAGATCGAGTTTCACGATTTATTAGCACCGCAAGAAGTAGAAAGGTGAGAGCGATTCATTTAGCTTGGCTTCCGGGCAAGTGAGAATTAGCGAAAAAATCATTTGCAATCACGACCGGTTGACTCCCCGTGGCTCGTCGCTTTCAGAAAGATAAATGGATTTGCAGTCGGCCTGATAAGTCCATTGTGGATCATGTTAAACGACGCCAATTTGTCCGTTATAGCCGTCGTCG